AGAATTCTTAAACTCCTAGGCTATGGAGTGCAGGGGTATCCAGTCACTGCACCGCACCTGCCCCATTATTTCCCAGGCCCTACCACCCCCAGGGCCTGGACCATTGTGTACCATGTGCCATAGGCGGCAGTTCAAGCTCCTCCACATAAACTTCCGAAGCTGACATGCTGCCTCTTGGCTACCCCTTGGGCTTAAGGGTGTGCACTCCTCCAGCAAACCTAGGAAGGAGGCCTGAACAGGCCCTGAAAGTGAGTGTGAAGCCATCTGGACAGAGAACGCAGGGGACCAGTGGGGGCAGTGTGGTCTGGAAGGGGAATCCCAGCAGCCCCTCAGGCCAGCGGACCGCTTCCCTCCTGGAGCAGGGTGCACCCAGAGCAGACCAGGCTAGGGCTGTCCTAAAGCACAGGGTCCGGGAAAAGGATTCCTCTGGCCCTCAGGGTGGCGCTGCTCTTGATGATATCAGTTAATTCTGGGCAGAAGTGGAATGAATCCCTTTCAATAGTTGGTTACCCACCTATCACCATCCTGACAGAGCTCTGAGACATATCTGTTAGCCAGTAAATCTCTTTCCTCTCAGTTCTGCTGGATCCCACACCTGCCATACTTATTGATTATTCCATTAGAAAATGATTTCACCCAGCTTTACAGCAACAGCCCATCCTGATCACATTTCAGCATCGCACAGCTTAGATCCCAGCAGCCCCCCGGGGCTGGTGGGAATGTATGCCTTTATTCCCTCCTACCGAAGCACACGGGCAATGAGTTGCCTTTACATTCAGTGCTCCAGTACAGCCACACCTCAAGAGCAGGAAAAATAAACCTGAGTGGCCAGGAGCAGTCACTTCCCCGGTGAGGCCTTCAGAGGAAAAGGACCAGCTATCTCCCATTCCTATCTGATGCATTTCCTCCGTAAATGTTTACTGAAGTGTTAGGTCCTGATGCTTTATTCTGAACAGAATACTGATATTATTGAGGACTTCATTTTTCAACACTAGAACACCCATGTTCACTGATAGGGCCCTAACATTTTGCAGCACATAAATAGCCACAGGGCAAAGCTAGTCACAAAAGAAAAGCACAGTAGAGGGTGTTTGAGGGGGAGTCCAGACAGGACCCAGTTGCTTGAACATAGCTCTTTACTGAATACAAGAGCATGTTCATCTTCTGAAAACATTCAATATGTTGCGCACAAATGACCCCACTGGCATTTTTCTCCAGAAAATTTTAGGCCTGGGACTTTTTCATAGTAAAAGCTCCGCCTTCCTCGTCAGTCACAACTCCACCTCCCTGGGATTGTTCTGCGTTGGTCCTCCCTCGGCCACTGTTGCTGCAACTCTGTGCTTTACTGACTGTGTCTGTCAGGAAGGAGACAGGAAATTCTAGTCACCCTGACAGCAGCTGCCCCATTCCTCCTGTCCTCCTCCAGTGACGTTGGTTGGCTTTGGTGACAAGAGGTCAGGAACTGAGCCACAGTGAAGGTCAGGAAGATAGGTCAGTGTTGATGCCCTTGTTGGGCCGGGGATCCTGCTGAGGCTATTTGCTTTCTTCCTTTCTATCCTGTTTCTCTTTCCGTTCCTCTTTTTGTAATGCAGACCCAAAGCATCCTGTTTTCAAAACATCTGACTGTTTGCCACTGAGGAACTCATGCTCTGAGGCATTTCACATTTCACTGAAGTGTAAGACAATTCTTCTAATTCAGGAGGCGATAAAAGTTGAAACAAAAATTAATGAGCAAATCTAAGAAGCCAATCTGTTGTTAGAGAAAACAGCTCTAATACGTCTAACTGAACTTGGGCAGCTGGCAGAAGGCTCACTAGACATCCTTTTCATCTTGAAAAATAATGTCATTGCTTCATAAAACTCCTGCTTCATTTATTCCATCTTGTAATTTGGGAAGGGGAGGGAATAATCTACAATATTAACCCACGTGGCTGCATCTTTCTCTACAATTTTGGAATTCCATTTGACCTGTAGTCAGCATGAAAGAATGAGGGAAATTTAGGCCAAGGAGAAAAGTGTATTTTTAAAAGTCACAGAAACTGTTCCTTATCTAACCCTGGGAAGCACACTTTGGAAAGCCAGTTACAAACTTTGAGTTACGGTTTTCTTCAAAATGGATAATGGTTAAGAAAAAAACAACAGACAAGCACACTACCCTATGCAGAAGAAATCCATATGAAAGACTGCTTGCTTTTCCTCCACTAGACACAGACAGCCTTCGACCATTTGCATGTAGACTGGCACCTGTGTAATTCTCAAACAGCACCTAAGCCAAACACTGATACTTCCATCGTCACTCTTAAGTAAATGAAAGCTCAGTGATCACTTAGCTGCTTAGAACCTAAATAAAATTTTTTTATTTTTATTTAGGCAGAGATGTAGTGGATGCTATTAAGTTATCACTGTTGAACTTTTACTACACATCAGTGTCTTAAATGCTCCACACACATTATCTCATTTAATCTTCCCAGCAACCCAGAGGGAGTAGGTAGCACTTTTATTCCTGTCTTACAGATGAGAAAATTAAGTCTTAGAACATTTAAGTAATAAATTGGCCAGGCCTAGTAGCTAATAAATAACAGACAGGATCTGAGCCATGATCTTTTGCTTCCGAAGTCCATGCTTTTCACACTCTCCATCTATAGTACATCTTCACACTCACTTGCAAGCCCAGAACTCAGAGGTTTGCCATAGTATCTTTGTTCAGTGAGGGTAAGCAAAAGATGACCATATAAGATTATACAGTAATGACAATAATGATGATGATTATACTTTTAAGCAGCAATGTGGATAGAATGCTTAAACAATTTTGACAACATTTAAAATTGAATGAGGAATTTATTTTTACCACAGGTAATTCAGTTCCCCCCAAAACTGATAGAGATCCATGTTTTATTGGTGGCCACAAAAATATTCTCATTATATTGTATTATACATGCAATGGATTAAGCTTTACTTGAGACAATCATCTGGATCATCAAGATTTTGGAGGGGGAAATAAAGGCAGCCAAGCAAAAAGAGAAATCTTTTTAAAAATTGAAATTGACTTCAGCTGTCAGCCAGGCATTATTCATCCCATGGGTCATTGCTTTGCCTTACAACCTTCCCACTATAGATCCAGAAAATAGGTGAAGCTGCATGCCTTCTTCTGAAGCTAAGTGTGTCAGCCTTAAGGTTGAGCCCTTTCTTTAGGGTTAGCTCTATTTAACTTTCATTGCTTCCTGCACACAAACCATAAAGGAGGAGCGGAAGCCTGAAGTGACTGGCATTCTCATCAGGACCTATACAGTCCCTGGTCTCAGAACCTTCTTTACTATTATGCTGAATATGAACAATTTAAAAATAAATCTGCAAGACAGACAGTGTCTAATATCAGCACTCCAGGCATTAACCTGGTTAGAATCTACAATGTATCAACACTCAAAATGGAAAATAATGGCAATTTGCAGTTTCTCAATGAGTATTCTTTTTCTCCTCCTGGAGTTAGATGCTTCCTGTATCTTAGTGACTCCAGAAGACAGTTTTCCTGCTGAAAAACTATGCCTACATATAGGGTCTAAATATTGTAGGGTTATTGATAATCACAAAATGCAGAGAACAGAGAGTATCTGTTAGTACTCCAAACAAGGCCAAAGTAAAATTCTCCTATGAGGAGTCCAACATGGTTTAGAGAAGTTAAGCCTCCTCATTGGGAAGCAGTTAGTTGAAATTTACAGCAGCCTGGAAAAACACAGAATTGAGCCTTCAGAGAAAAGCCAGTAAATAATTGAACCTAGAAACTTTTCTTTTTTTTTTCCAGCTTGAATCTGAGCTAAAATTTGAGAAAGGGCCTTTCTTTTTTCTTTCTCTCTCATTAACCAATAAACAAGAGTAAGAAGTCTCCTCTTCTCTTCCCTCAGGACCTCCTGGGGGTGCAATGCTTCCTCTGTCAGATCCTTTGAGCAGGAGCCAGCAAGCCTCCATAGGAAGGTGATACTTTTAACCCCAGGAAAAGAGAGAGGAGGGACACACATTCACTACTGAACCTCGGGGCTGGAAAGGCATTTGGCAGGTGTGGAGTGAACCTCTTCCCAGCCCCAGAACCGTAAGACAATAAGACCATACCTCAGGCTAGGATGATTGGGGATTCTGAAAATGTGTACTTATGAGGGCACAATGTTAAGGTTTTCCATTAAAATGTGTGTGTGTGTGTGTGTGTAAGATAACATTCTCCAAAGAAAAAACACAAACAAAAAGCAACAACTCTTCACTACATAAATTAGCACTCTAAATCCAGTTGTTAATTAAACAAATGATATAATGAGAGATAATTAAAGCTCTTCAACGCTGAGTTTTGTTTGGGGATTGTAAATAAAACCATTTCTTTGCAGTGTGGGTGGAACTTAATTGCACATGATTCCACTTTGAAAAGCAGCAAACTTAAAAAAAAAACTTTCTCTTTAAGAAACAAAGTATAGTGTTTCTTTTTTTCTTAGGTCATGGCAACATCACAACAGAAATGTTAGAAAATCCCAGAATGTCCTTCTGAGAAAAATTTCAGAATTTATGAAACTTCAGGGCAAAACATTCTCTCCATTGATATAAATATATATAAATTTTAAACTGACAGCAATGCAGTATTTTACTCCATGGATTTATCAGCTTTTATCTTCCTGATAATTATTTTTTTAAAGGCATTTTCATTTGAATAGTGATTTGTACACCTTGTAGACAGACACATCTCGCTTCAAACATATTCTGAACTACATTAATAAGAAAGAAGTCTGATGTCTGGGAATGAAAGCCTACTGAGAATCTTAAACTTTTGCTGTAGCATCCAGATACAAGCTAAGTGTGGCACTTGGGGACAGAATCTTCTGAGGCAGATCAACAAGCCTGTTCTCACGGTGGCATCCTCAGGTGCACCTCTGCTGCAGGCAGAGGCCAGAGGAGCTCAAGGGGAGCCGGGAGCTCCCTGCGAGGTCACACTTAAATGAATAAATAAAACGGTCATCTCTTACCTTGTTAGAAGCCATCTCACTGACGGAGCGGTAGGTCTGTATGGTCTCTAGTTGGTCTAAGCACCAGTCCAGTTCCTCCAGCGTTTCCATTGCTAATTTCTGATAAGATTCTTCTGCAAACAAGCACACAGACATGTAGTTAGGCTGGAGTGGCTGCAGGCTGTCCATAGCCGAGTCACCGCTGCCGACGCTGATCCCGGCGCCACTGAAGGTGGCCCCGTGCTCCTTCATTATTTGCGCGCCGACTCCTTCCTTCCAGCTCCTCTACCAGGAGAACAAATCACCGTAGTGCTTTGCCCGGGATGGCTGGTGCCAGTTTTCACCCCCCGCCTGGATGAGGTGTCTGTGAACTACTAACAAACTTCCTCTGAGGAAGAAGGCGGGAACCGTCTCTTATAAGCTCATCTGCATACATGTGTCCTAAAACTCAAGGCAGAAGCAATGAGTTTTCTCAGGCACTCTCTGCCTTAGTCATCCTGGGCTCTTTGGGGCACAGTGATGTCATTTCTGAGTGTTTGCAGTCTAGAGGAGAAGTGAGGAAAGCGTTTTCTCACTTTGCTTTTCTTCTAAACGAAACATGCAATTGAAAATCTGGGAGAGCGAGCTGACAGAGTTACCTTGGAAGGCTAGGCAGTCATTCATTCTGGGGAATGTGTAATGTTGGAGTAACTTTTAATACAGCAAACACTGGCCTGAACAAGTCAGAGAGGTAGGCTATCCCTCACCTATTCTGAATCCCTCCTTTAAGTAGAGGCAAAATAAGGTCTGCCTGATAAGGCTTCAGTCTAAGAAAAACTGTCTGGAGTTTTCTGTGAACACGTTTATTGGCCTGGGAGTATGCAGCTCTTGTTATACTAAACAAAGCTAAAACTTCTCTTCTGCAACAGCCAGGATCACAGGGAAATTCTGAACCGGACTTTCAGGTGGAGCCAAATGTGAACGCTGCAGATTTTCATTTTGATTAAAGCAGGGGCTCTGATTTGTTACTACAGGAATCTAGACTTTCTGGAAATATTTCTCAGTGGTCCATTCAAAGAAAAATTGTTTATAAGATCATATTTTTGTGGGATAATAAAGCTCTTTTTAAGTGTTTACAACATGTCATCCCATACCTGAAAGTTTGAGTCTAAACTAATGCTTTTAGTGACTTACGAACCCTATGTTAATAAACACTGAATAAGTTTTATAAATGCTAGATGAATTAAAGATGCTATAGACAGTTATATAAAGCAGTCAGCCTCTCCTGCATACATGACTAATTTTGAGGGGAACAATATCCACTAACTCTGCCAAGCTTTCTGGAATGCAAGCACACAGTAGGCACTAATAAAATTAAAGATCTTGTACAGAATTCTAATACAAAGAAAAGATTGCACATATTTCTGTCAGATTTCAAATACTTTTTTCCTATGCTTTACAGAAATCCCAGGGAGACCACATGGCTTCTTATTATTATTTGGATAATTTTACATGGGCAGCACTCACACTTGAAACAGAAAAGGGAATAAACAGAAGAGAGGGGTTCCAAGAGACTACAATCACGTGACCACAGATGCCCATTTCAAAGAATAGGTGTTTTGTTTATCCCCCAAATACGCCTACATTTCAGAATAAACAGGGGTAAAAATTCAATATCCTGTATGTCATACTTCAAAGCCACAAAACCACTAGAGGTGACTTCCTCCATATTTTTCACACTCCTCAAAACAGTGCAGAGAAGAATCGCAGTGTTTTTACTAAAACTCACTTCAAGACACACTTGCACAGACCTTCCCTCTTTTTTTTCTTCCTCAATTTTATGATGCTACTTCAAGATGAAGAATCTCATTGACTCTCTCCTATGTTGGAAACACCCCCTTACCTCCTTTATTTTCTTCCAGAAGAGACCTCTTCCAAGAAGCTTTTTCTGAAGTGACAGAACCCTCCCATCCTCATTCCTGGCCTGTCACAAAAGAAAAGTCCAATCACTTCCCAACTATCCAGGCTTTGCTCCCTTGTTGTCTTCCCCGCCACCACCTGTGGTTCTCCGTAACTAAGATGTGACAGGCATTGGGATGGTGGGGGGTAAGCAACTTGCTCAAAGCCTTCTGAATCGGCCAACATGCAAAATTTCTGTAAGATGATATATCACATTTCTCCTTCATGAAGAGGAAAAAGGGGATCCAATTTCCACACCTGACAAAGGAAATACAGCAATTACAGCAGCACAAGCCTGGAGTAGGAGGAGGATTCTTCAATGCTCCACCAATTAAGTGTTACCATTACAGCTCATTCATTGTCGCACATAACAAGCTCACACATTCTCCTTGAGCTGGTTCAGCAGTGAGATATCAGGGACTGGCCAAGGGATGTGACAGGACCTTCACTCCACTGCCCTTTCTTATTCTGGTCCACCACAATAGTTTTTTAAGTGAAAGATATTATGTTTGGAGCATGAGGGGTTGTTCCTTCCTAGATTCTTAAGCCATGGTCAAAACTTCTTTGTGTTCCACTTTAGAGCCTTCTTATCACTGTAACTATGGCAGGAGGCACAGAAGACAGAGTGGGCTCAGAACGGGGGCATCAAACCCCTGTTACTTCTAAATGCAGCCAAAGGAGAGGCCAAGTACAGTTCAGGACCGGCCTCCACATTATAATTTCACAGCTCCAGTGCCTGGCCCAGGGCTTGGTACATAGTGGTCTCTGTAAATCCTCGGAGTAATCAAAACCACAGTGCCTGCCTAGGCTGCCTGAAAATAGAGGTACTTAGAGGCTGAATGGTTTTATCCATAGCACTATGGAAAGAGTACCAGTGCTGGAGTGCGACTCACCCATTTTGGCTTTCTCTACTATCACTTACTATGCAATCCTGGACCTCAATTTCCTACATTTTAAAATAAGGATAAGAATATTTATCTCATAAAGTTACAAAGGAGATAAATGAGTTAAAGTATATGAAGTGCCTGGTATGGTAGCCAGTTTTTACTAGGTGATTAGTACATAGGAGAATAATTATTAATGGCAATCACGGTAACTTGAAGGCCTAGAATTTGAAGGCAGGGGCAGGAGGAACAGGAAGAGAGGTGGAAGAACTGCATATTCAACCAGGGGTTTTCTAATGAGGATCAGCTGCATAATTCAAAGGACAGGTCTCAAAATGAGCATGTAGGACCCTTCATTCAAAAAAAAAAAAACAGGAAAAAGTTAAAGGTAGTAAAATATGAATTTCCTTTCTTAAAGATTTTCTCTCTTGACCTGCCATAATGGTGCTATTTTTTAAATAAACCTTTTATTTTAAAGTAGTGCTAGATAAACAGAAAAGTTGCTAAGATTATAAAGAGAACATCCCCGTAATTATTATGGTACATTTGTCACAATGAATGAATGGCACGGTGGGTTTACTTACTCTTTAGTATCCTGTTCTCTCAGGCATGGGGATACCATGAGGAGAGCACAGCCCCTCACAGGTCCCAGGACTCAGGGCAACTGTGCAGCCTGCCGTTTGCTGGGTACCCCTGCCTGCCAGCATCCAAACTGCTATGCTGTGGCTCAGCGGGGACAGGCTCTGGGGAAGTCAAGCATCTTTCTTTCCCACAGAACTGACACCCAGGTCACAGCAGACAGGCGAGTGACCCCAGAGGGTGCTACCAGCCCTGCATGAGAGGCTCTCCCCCCCACCGAGACATGGCCTCTGTCTAGCATGTTATAGCCAGGCCAGCCCAGGGCAGGGGCGGCTGCTACCATGGCTTACCTAGGACAGCACGGCACACATGCCCAACTCAGATCCTTCCTGCACCCACACCCAGGCTGGGAACGGACAGCAGCGTGGCAATGGGGTGGGGGCAGGGGCAGGGGAAGGGATGTTGGGTGAGTCTCGGGGTTTGTGGCTGAGAACACATCCAGGGGAGGCAGGCAGGTGACAGGAGGTGGCACAGCATATGAGCCAAGGCTCCACTGTCCCATCAGATTTCACTTACAAAACACAAGATCAAGATAAAATTATTATTATCTTTTATAGTGGCTATGGTGCCCCTCTGAGGGCATGCCCTTCACTGCATGGCCAGGAAGCAGGTCTTGTCTCATTTTAGCAGCATGGCTCTGAAAAGGAACAATGCTTCACATCACAGAAAAAAGTCTTAAGGGGTGAAGAGCAGGTAATGGGACCATGTATGGTGATGCAGTCAGTTCCTATTTTGTCAAAAATTTCCAGAGGAAGAAGGAATGGGAGAACCAACCTCCCTTCTCTTCTGCCCTTCTTTCTCTTTCACTCTATCAAGAGTGACAAAGAGGATTTACTTCCTTCTGCAGGTCTGGTAGGTATTGCATTTGACCCTGAGAAACAGGAAGAGAGAATGGGTGAATAATTGTAATTAATATTAATTTGGTAATCATATATGGCATTTACATAGCTCTTTTCTCAAAGGAACTCCAAACACACTACTCATTAATCCTTGCAACATCCCTGTGCTGTGTGACAGACACTGAAGATGTACGATTATCTCTAATTCACCTTAAGGCACAAGCTAAAAAGTGAGAGGTTAAATTGTGAGAACAAGATTCCTGGCCAGACTGTACCTTGGTCTATGAAATTTTCAGCTCAGTGGTGAAAATGCATGTATTCCTGAGAATGCTATGTTTGAAGTGGCATTTTACCTTGAGTATTCTCTATGTAATTGTGCAATTGCTTTCCCAAATGTTGTTACGTCTGAAGTCTTCTCTTCCCTTTTCTAGCTAACACAGTCGTTAGCACAGGGAGGTGGCACAATGTTTACTCAGAACTTCCTATGATTCTGGCCCTGCATCTTCCTTTAGTGGGTGATCTCAGGCTAGTGACCTGTTTGCTGAGACTAAATTTCTTTATCTGTGAAAAAAGGGTAAGAAGAATACTTATCCTACTTTCACAGGGAAAATTTAAATAGGAGAATATGCATAAAACCAGACTGCAAAACTGTAAGTATTATGCACATTTTGTAAATATCACATTGCTTATTACAGGTGGGATATAGATGCATTATAGGAAATAAGAAAATTACAGAGCAGTAAAGATTCAAAATGATAAAAATGTCACTTCTTGTACTAAGCAGAGATCACTATATATATAGAGATCATATATATATATACAATAGGCACCCCA